TCTTAGCAAGATGGACGTTCCTGTGCGTAGGCGTTTGCTCATCGCTTCAACCCTAGTGACACAAATATGATAGGGTGCGCATTCCAGAATGTGCATGGCTATTTGCCGTGGTAAGTCAAGAATGTAACCGAAAGTGTGATTCCAAAGCTTTCGGTAGGTTTTATCAGCGATCATGCCGAAAAATGAACTGGATGCCAGATGATAGAGGGCTGTGGGAGCATCGAGTTTTGCGTAAAGTTGAGTGCCTGCAAGAGTTAGCATGAGTGCAGGCGCGCATGCGGTATCTCTTTTGAAGGACATCTTGAGCACAGCCATTATTTCTTTTTTTCCGATTTTCTTGAGCGTTTTAACGTGGTTCATTGCGTCAATGAGATTTTTCCGATTAGCGAAAGACACGTAGGAACCAAAGAGGAGTGGATCGTGCATGATGGGGATACAGGTTAATTCTGGGTAAAAATAATCTTGGGTATCTTTGTTGATGTAGTTGTTTCTTGTGAGTAAAAGGAGGTGATGCCCAAACTGCTCGTGAAGGATGTGAACGTTAAAAGTGATGTGGGCGTGGAAGGATCCAATTGATCGTCTTTGTGTACTCCTGAGTGTAGGCTCCATCTGAGTCGCGTTCAGGAACGTAATGAAAGTGGGTTGGGCGTTCAGCAGTGGGCCAGTAGTAGACCCGGTACAATTCTGGGTACATGCTGGGGTCTTTCGCAAAGAGGTTGGGAGGGCAGTGGACGGTGGCGAGGATGTTCTCTAAATTAGGATTCCTCATGACTGAAGTAATGCAGTGCGTCGTGCATGAAAATAGAAGATATCTCGATGTTGACGTCGCGAGTTAGGTAGGTGCGGAAAGCACTCTTGTACCTAGAACGGTCTTTTGCGTCGTAAATGTAATTGGTAAGGCGTAAATCAGGTGGGTCGTTATCAAAACAAAGCTGCGGCAAAGTTTTTCTAAACTTTGAGCAAAGATAACTTGACAACCACCTATTTAAAATCTATGAAATTTTTTTATTCTGATTCTATATGCCTGTATAATTAAAATAAATAAATTTCTTCAATTTTAGATAGGTGGTTGTCAAGATATCTTCGCTCAAAGTTTAGAACAACTTTTTTTTGATAATTATCCAAGTTTTTTCTAAAGATATCTTGACAATCACCTATCTAAAATCGGTGAAAAATTTTTGTTATTCTGATTCAATATGCCTGTATAATTAAAATAAAAAATTTTCATTGATTTTAGATAGATGGTTGTCAAGATATCTTCGCTCAAGTTCGGAAAAAACTTGGATACTATCAAAAATGGAAGTCACGACACAAAGTTTTTTCCGAACTTTGAGTAAGGATACCTCGACAATCACCTACCTAAAATCATTAAAAAAATTTTTTTTATTCTGTTTCTATATAAATGTAAAAAAAAATGATCGATTTTAAGCAGTTGCTTGCCAAGAAATATTAATTAAAAGTTTGAAAAAAAATAATTAATTACAATTGAATAATTTCACCCAATCAGGATGCG